CCTATAAACTTTTGGTCTTCTCCTCACCACCCTCTCAAACTTCCTAATCTTACCTTGGCTTAAATAAATATCGAGGTTACTTGTCCATCCTATTTTTTAATGGTGTAACCAACCAACGAATGATTTAACCAATTATGAAGACTTCATTATTTATATATATATAGATATAGATATAGATATAGATATATAGATATATATCTATATATCTATATATCTATATCTATATCTATATATCTATATATCTATACATATTGTATACATATATATATACAATTTAATTAAACAAATGTTTATTATTAAGAATCGTTAGTTTTCTTGAAAACTAGTCTCTCTTGATTCTTGCCCCTTCCCTACCTCAAGTTTTAGTGCTCCCCTAATTACCTTGTTTTCATTTTGAATATATTTTGTATATGCCTATGTGTGTACATGTCCTCTTCCCCAGTATAATATATATCAGCTGCGAGCAAATTACAACCAAAGACATCTTTAACTATTACTACAACTGCTCATTTCTCAATTCTGGAAACATTCCCACCATTCATTTCTTTCAGGATGCCAATTCAAATCTCTTCTCAAGAATCCTCTATATATTTCTTAGGAAGTTAAGGGTTAACTTCAGTTTTCTCAGGAAACATTCTCTCAATTCTTTTCCTTTGTCCTCTCTTGCGCCATCATAGTTAACAGTCTCTCCAGAAAACTGGTAAGATTCTCAGTCTCCTCACAGACTCCTTATAGAATCACAGGTAAAATGTAACTCCAAGATTTCATTCTAAGATATGGTAACAGTATCTGTCTTCTCTTTGGGTGAGGATATTGAAACTGGTGTTAAATATTAAAGGAGCTGGGGGATGTTTAGCTTGAAGGAAGAGACAGGATTTAATAGTCTTCAAGTATCTAAAGGAATGTCATGCAGAAAAGAAATTTTGTGCTGGTTGGTTCCAGAGAGAACAAGGCACCGTGGCTGCAAGTTTTAAAATGTAGAGTGTGACATGTAAGGAAAACCTTCCTAAAAATTAGAACCGTCTCCGTGTCATTGGTTGCCTTGGGTGTTAGTGAAATTTCCCTTCACTAGAAGTCTTCAGGTGGAGGCCACTTTTGAAGGATTTTCTTGTTGAAGGGATCCTTGTTTAGCTCCAGATCGGGCTAGATGTCTGATCAACACCTTACATGTTCTGTGATTTGGGTTCAGATGTTGAGGTTAAGGGTTAGTTTATTGAATATTATTTATTTTATTAATTGGGGAAACATTTTCCTATATCTTTTGGATTCACGGTTGAGTCTGAATCTTACTTTAAGGTCAGAGTCAGTCTTTGGCCAGGGTTCAGGTTCAGTCTGGACAGGTTTATTGTTGTTGTTCCTTCTCCAGCTCATTCTACAGGCAAGGACACTGAGCGACTTGCCCGGGGTCATATAGCTGGACAGGACTTGAACTAGGGTAGTCCACTCTCCAGGCCCACACGTCCTGCACCACCTAGTGGGCACTGATTTGTGGTGGGACTTGGGATCCATCATTGGTCATGACTGAGAGAGGGCCGAGTACAGTATTAGGGTTAACCTTTGGCCCAAGGTAGTAGGCCGATCTTTGGCCAAGGTTAAGCTGAAGCTAGGGTCAGTGTTTGACCAAGACCAGGGGTCATTCTGTGACTATGGAACAGAGCAAAAGTAACTGGTTCCTGTTGGCCTCACACTCAAAGCTGTGGCTTCATTTATAGAGCTCCTGCCATTGGAAACATCAGCCTCAGACAGGACTTAATAATTTGGTAGCACCTCACACTGTGATGGATGACCTAACTCTTGTTGTAAGGAGACAACAGCTTTCCCAGAGGCCCCATGTGAAGACGTTGCTATCACTTCAATGACCACAGCTAATCATTTACAGTGTTTTCTCACAGTCAGCCAAATAGCTCCATCACAAAACAGGGAGCCTGCCATCATATGGACAATATGGCGGGCTTCCAAATCTGCGACTGGTACCACTAACACATGAAAGAGAATGAGTGTGGTACTTTAGGGAACTGGCAGCTAGGTGGTACAGTAGATAGTGCTGGGCCTGGAGTCAGGAAGACTCATCTTCCTGAGTTCAAATGTGGCCTGAGACACTTACTAGCTGTGTGACCCTGGGCAAGTCACTGAATCCTCTTTGCCTCAGTTTTCTCGTCTGTAAAATGAGCTAGGGAAGGAAATGATGCAATACTCTAGTATCTCTGTCAAGGAAACCCCAAATGGGGTCACAAAGAAATCAGACCTGACTGAATAATAACAACAAACTTCGGAGATGTCTGGGTTCCATTTGTAGACATCATTCATTCACTGTATGATCTTAGGCAAACCAGTTCACGTGATTTGTTACAGTGGACAGAGCTAGATGTGAAATGAGCAACGGCTGCATTTGAATCCTGCCTCTGACATTTACTAGCTATGGGACCCTGAGCAAGTCTCTTAAACTCTCTCAGTCTCAACTTTCCTCATATGGAATATGGGGGAATATCTATCTGCAGGCTTTGTTACAAAAGACTGTTGTAAGGATGAAATAGGACCATTTACATCTAGGATTTTTTAAACTTTAAACGGCTACATAAATGACAGGTGTCGACATTAACCTCATTCGGCTTTAGTGTCTCCATCTGCAAATTGGGAATGATAATATCTTCCTTTGGAGGCTTGCCGTGAGAATCAATTGAAATGGGAAAGAGTACTGACCTGCTCTGGCCTTGGGACAGTACCTTTTCCTCTTGGAGGCTAGAGTTCTCTTCTACAAATGATTAGGGAAGGGCAGGGAAGAAGGAAGGGTTTATAGATGATCTCTTGCCTACTACTTCTCAGAAATGTCCATTTTTAAAGAGAATAATGTTGCCTCTGTCAGGAGAAATTGTCACAAATTGCCACAAATTTAGGAGACACCAAGAAGTAGAGGTAGCCTTGTACAATAAAAGTATGTATGAGGCCACAGGAAAAAAAATGAATGTGATTAACTGCCTTAATGCTTCTTGGAACTCAGTCCCACTTATTATGTGAGTAGGGAGTCTGAGAGGCAGTGCGTTATAGTGGCCAGAGGGGCTGGCTGGGGAGCCAAGACTTCGGTTTGAATCTTGCCTCTGACACGTATAAGCTATGTGACCATGAGCAAAGTCAGCGAACCTTTCAGTGGCCCGGACAACTGTCAATGACCACAAAATATAGATGGTTTTATGAAGGGCATTTCCACACCAGAAGTTCTCCACACTGATGAAATCACAGGTCCTCAACCCTAGCCCATTCCAGGTCTTGGCAGGTCTGAGAGGGAAAGCACATCTTCCTGTTCCTAATTTTCTACAACTTTACAAGATAATGTACATGAAAGCATTTTGCAATATGGGAGGGATTCTATGATGTGGGGGCTCTTAGCTATAGAATGTTCCCACACCTTCAGAGAAATGACTGGGCCCACCTAGATGATGGTAGAAGCTGCCATGGAGTTCAGTGAAAAGCACATCGGAGTTGGGGGGTTAGAGACCTGGGCTTTGACTCCTAGTTTTGTTACTCATTATCTGTGTGACATTGCTCAAATGGGACCTTCCTGACTCAGTTTCTTCACCTGTAAAATGAGTAAATGGGTAAATGATCTCTAAGGATCCTTCCAGCTCTCCATTGTGTGATCCAGATCGTGTAATCCTGATAATAATAGATAATATTTCATTTGTATGAAGAGCGTATCCTAGGTGCTAAATTATGGTAAGGGGCTGCCAGACGGTGTGCTCCTAATGGAGTTTCAAGGAGGGGTAAATGAGATGCCTCATGCCTGGCACAGCTCCAAGACCTGTCAATGCCTCCTGCGCTGGATCTGCCCCACCAAGGCCTGGGTTCAGGTAATGCTTATCCTTCACCCCAACTACAGCCCCCCAACCTTCACAGGCTGGACAGCAAGTGCCTGCTGGTGGATCACTGGGGCCCTCCTGGGAGAGACACACTCTCTTCAGAGTGTGACTGCTTTTCCCAGTCCCTTCTAGAAGCTCCCCGAGGCCCTCTGCTCTGTCTGCAATGGACACCAGATGGCTGCAAAGGAAAACATGCTGCCTATGAATGTTGTCAAACACAACGCTTTCTCCCTAGAGAGGCCTCTCCCACAGAGGCACAGCCTCTTGGGGCATGGTGGGGCTGGGTTAGGGAGGGATCACAGGACTTGGAAATGGAAAGATCTGCACAGGTCCTAATTGACATAGTCTAAATCCAAACAAACAAACAAACGAAAGAATAAAGACATCGACCAAAGAGAAGGGTTAGTGCATTAGTTAATGGCAATCTTCAAGACAACTTCTTAATTGAAAAAAAAGATGCACATTTTCAAGTACTCCTTAGTGGTTCTGATGAGATGTTCCAAGTTGTTCAGGCTATTTTCTCCTTCTATGCCTCTTAAGAAACAATAACAAACAGCTGAGGCCATTTTCTTCTGCACCTGCCCAACTTTCAAATCTCTCAGGTTTCTGCTTCTAAGACGGCCATTAGGTCGCCCCAGATGGTGACTTATCAAAGGCCTTGAACCGTAGTGGGAGGGAGGGAGTGGAATTTGGGCTTTGCTGTTGCAGGGCTACTAACCCTGGGCACTGATTCAGAGAGAAAGCCTGTGGGAGGGATGGAGGCACTTTTAGATTTAGAACTGAAAAGGATCTTAGGCACTATCTGGTTTAATACTCCCATTTCACAGCCAGGAAAACTGAGACCCAGAGAGGGCAAATGATTTGTCCAAGGTCACAGAGATAGCCAAAGGCAAGGCTGGCATTGGAGCCAAGACTAAAAATCCTCTGATGTCAATAGACTCTTTCGTCAGCTGGAGCCAACCGCCTCCCCAAAATTAACTCACGAGTGCCCTTCCACACTAATCAAGAAAACTGGGTCAAGGAGGTACAGATGGCCTCGGGTCACAGAGATCTCCAGATCATTCTACCATTTCTGGGGCCTCTCCTCATAACCATGCACAGCAGCAACCCTAAGAGCCTCTCTCTACCCTCCATGGTGCTACTTACCTGGGAGAAGAAGACAGTGTTGGCCAGTGAGACATGGATGTTCTGCAGGCCTCCTGTGGGCACTGGGGCTAGCGGCATGGGAAGGATCCGAGGGCAGTCCTGGCTGTCCTGAAAGAGAAAAGGAGAAGGAGGGCCGTGAAGGTCTTTCTTGGGTTTGGAAGAAGTTGGCTCTGGGGTGAACCCGAACCGAGGCAGAGAACAGAACAGAGGGAGTTCATGTAGACCCCAGGTCCACAGCATGCACTAAACTGTGCTGAAGGAAAGAGGGGAGAGACAAATAACACAGTTCCTTGCCCTCAGGGGATTTACATTTCCACATACACACAAAACAACTAAAATAAAAGAAAGTACACAAATAAACCTCAATTTCAATACTTACTGCTATGTGCCAGACAATAGATATTGGGGGGTACAAAGATAAAAAATTAAACAACCTCTCTTCTCAAGGAGCCTACATTGTGCCCAGTGAAAAAGCTAAGATTAATTCAAAGTAGGGAGTGAAGAGGGCAAAGGAGAAAACAAAGACCTCTAAGACTGTGAGGAAGTCGAGACCAGCTAGAGGGAATCAAGGAAGGCTTTGTGTAGGAGGGGGCATTGGAGCCTTGAGGGCAGATAAGGACTGTGAGATCTAGAAATAAGGAGAGAATACATTCCAAGGATAGGGGATGACACCTTGGGCAAATTCCACAGAGGTGGGAGATGACACTCCAAATTCAGGAAACACTAAGCAGGTCAGTGTGGCTAGAAAATAGTGTGTGTAAAGGGGAATGATGTGAAATCAGACAGGAGAAACAGATTAGAGTATTTGCTAAATGCTTACAGCCAAAGTGGATTGCCAGATTACCTCTAACACATGGTGTGACCCTGAGCGAGTCACTCAACTTTTCTAGGCCTTTATTTCTTCATCTGTAAAGTGAGGGGGTTGGACTCAATGGCAGGGGCCTCCCAACTCTAAGTCTATGCTCCTCTGGGTGGTACAAGGGGAGAAAGATAGGAGAGAGGTCATGGGACAGAACAGATAAGATATGATATCAGATTAGTGATGTGGAGCATGGGAGAAGGCAGAGTTGAAGTTGACTTCAAGATTGCAAACCTACATATGTAGAAAGAGGTGCCTTCATTAGGAGGAGGGAAGTCTGGGGGAGGGAAAGATGATGAGCTCAATCTTGGACATGCTGAGTTTGAAGTAACAGCTGAACATCCAGATGGAGATGTTCAGCATACAGGTAATAATATGGGGCTGGAGTTCAAGGTGAAAATATATGTCTGAATGGACATGGCAACTGGACCCATGGAAATGTAGAGAAGGAAGAGAAGATGGCTGAAGACAGAGCCTTGTGGGACCCATAGGTGTGTGGTCTGGGAGATGGATAACATTCCAGCAATAGAAACTGAGTCACAAACATCCACCTGCCTGCTGGACACATAGCTTTAGATATCTACTGGCACCTCTAACTCAACCTGTCAAAAATTCAACTCAGCACCTTGCCACAAAATCTCCTCCTCCTTCCAGCTTCTGCATTTCTGTTAATGACACCACCATTGTACCCATCACCCCAGATTCAAAACCTCCCAGTGAGCTCCTTCTCCTTGGCTCTATGCCAAGACCCCTCAGTTCTTCCATTAATCCAATTCTCCTTTTCCAGGCCTACTCTCATCAGCCTAATTCAGGCTCCATGACCTTAACATTAGATCATGACAGTATCTTCTTTTTTTCTTCCAACCCATTCTACACACCACTGCCAGATTAATGTTCTTAAAACACCAAACTCACTGTGCCACACCCCTGCTCAAACACCTTCAATGTTCCCTAGTGGATAAATGTCAGACTCGTTAGTCTGGCATTCAAGGTCCTATCTTTCTAGACTCATCTCCTGCCATCTTCTACTTAAATGCCCTCCCTGATCTACTTTCCTTTTTCAAATCCTATCCATCCTTCAAGGTCCATCTCGAGTCCATTTTCACAGGATCACTGAATCTCAGAGTTGGGAAGGACATAAGAAAGTATCGAATCCAACTCACCCTTGAACAGCAGGAGAACAAGCCATCCCACTTCCTTATGCTGGCCCTTCAGCTACTCAAAGACAGTAACCGGGCCACCCCTAAGACATCCCTAAACACTGGGCATGAAGGAACAAGCCTGCAAAGGCAGACTGGAGCCAAGTCATGGGGGACTTTAAATGCTAAGCTGAGGAGTCTGCATTTTATCCAGAAGGCAATAGGGAGCCATTGAGCTCCTTGAGCACAGGCGTGCCATGGTCAGATGTGTTTCAGGAAGATTATTTCAGCAGCTGTATGAAGAATGGATTTGGAAGCTGAGCATCTAATTAGGAAGTTTTGCAACACTCCAGGTGAGAGGTGAAGAGGTTCTAAAGCAGGCTAGTGGCCTTGTGAGTGAAGGTAAGGGGCCAGAGCAGCAGAACCTGGAGTCCTTTCATTTACCCTGCTTTGGGTAACTCTGGAGAAGTCACTGAACTTTTCTAGATATCAATTTCCTCCTCTGTAAAACGGTACTAAGAACACTTGTCCTGCCTTTTTGAACTGTGACTTTGGTAATCAGAGAAGATGATGAAGGTAATCTGACTTTGGAAAGTGGAAATCAAGGCACCAATGTGAGATATATTCATATGAGATGCAGGAAATATGGAGGATGGCTAGTGCATTATGGGAGGGTACCCCTCCCCCACAATGCCTCATGTAGATCCAGATTGTTCTTCCCAGCTCTGCTCCAGCCACCTTCCACATGGGCTGGGTCTGCAGGGAGCCACTCCAGTTCCCTTAATTGAAAATCCATGGGTAATTTCAGGAAAATTTAATCCATATGTCACACTTAAATTGTCAGATGTTGTATTTCAATCCAGGAACTCTGGAAATGACTTTCAAACGATTCTTCCCCCGCCCCCCCTTTTTCTATTTGGAAGCTAAAGATTTAATCCAACCAAAGGGGCCCAGAAAAGCTGGAAGTGAGGAAACTCTCAATGCCACAGGTTTGGAGCTGCTCCTACGTCACAGAAGAAGCTCAAGTGGCCTCAGGAATTTCCTGCCTCATTCATTTGTTAATTCAACAAGTATTTATTGAACGATAATGATGTACAATATTAAAAACAAAACAAAAAGAATGAGATCCAGTCCTTGTCCTCAATAAAGATGACTCATGTTTATGTAGGTCTTTAAAGTTTACACAGTGATTTAGTCAGAGTATTATTATCCTCATTTTACAGATCAGGAAACTGGGGCCCAAGTGAGGCCAAGTGATTGGCGCAGGGTCACACAGCTCATAAATGTGGGGGCTGGGACTCATATTCAGGTCCTGTGATGCTCCAACCATTGAGTGATCTTTCCAGTGTATCACGCTGACTCTAAGGACTAGACAATTTCATTAGCTCAATAGGTTGGCTTTCTGAATTTAATGTAGGAATTATCTAAATTTTAGTTATCCCTCAAGACCCACGTCAGACGCCATCTTCAGTGAGCCAACTCTGACCACTCAAGGCCAATCTCTGCATTTCTCTAGTACTTTTTATTGCCTTCATTTCATGCCTAAGCAGAGACTGCCTGCTCTCATAATTTTAATGGTACATGTTTTATCTCTCCATTGATTGTGGGCTCTCACTAGACTGTGAGTTCCTTGAGAACAATGGATGCCATTTGCCTTTCTTTGTATCCTCAACAGTTACCACAGTCCCAGGCTTACAAGTGCTTAATATGGATTTACTGACTGACCAGGAGGCAGCCATTGTATCTGTCACAGGGGCTGACACAATCCCTAAGCAGTAGACTAGAATCTCCAGCTACCAGTTGAACATTTTGAACGTAGCGTGTCCAAAAGTGTCTAAGGCTGGATTTGAACTCAGATCTTCCTGACACCAGGCCCAGAGGTCTGTGCACTATGGCGCCTTCTTGCTGCCCCAACCCCCCAAACTATTCCCTTTCCAAGCCTCCCTATTTCTGTAGGGTGGAGACACCATCTTTCCACTCACCTAGGCTCACGACCCCAGTGCCATCGTTTACTGATCACTCTCACACATCCCACAGATCCAATCAGTTACCCAGTCTTGTTTCTACCTCCTGTAAATTACCCTTCTCTTCATTTACATGGCCAGTACCCTAGTTTAAGCCCTCAGCACCTCTCTCATCTGGGCTATTGTAATAATATCCTAATTTGTCACTCTGCCTCAAGTTCCTCCCCATTTCAATCAATCCTCCAGACAGCCACCAAATATCTGACCATGTAGGGGGAAGTTAGGTGGCTCAGTGGATACAGTGTTGGGCCTCGAGTCAGGAAGATCTGACTTCAGATTTGACCTCAGACACTAACTAGCTATATGACTCTGGGCAAGTCACTTAACCCTCTTTGCCTCAGTTTCCTCATCTGTAAAATGAGCTGGAGAAGGAAAGGGCAAACCACTCCGGTATCTTTGCCAATAACGCCCCAAATACAGTCATGAAGAGTTGGATACAACTGAAATGAACAACATGTTATTGTAACTCCTCTATACCACAAACTCCAGTGGCTCCCTATTGCCTCTAAGACCAATTATAAAATCCTCTTACAGTCTGGTCCCTACCTACCCTTCCAGCCTGTGACACATTACTTCCCTCCATCCACTCTATGGACCAGCCATACTGGCCTATTTGCTGTTCCATCTCTCAATTCCACTTTGCCCTGGCTGTCACTCCCTTCTCACTTCAGCCTGTTTTAACTTCCTCCAAGACCCAGATTAAAAACCACCTTTTTGGTCCCTCTCTGTCTCCTCATCTCCTGAAGATGAAGAAATTCCTAAAGATTATCTTCTATCTGCTGTTTTGCATATATCTCTATATTACAAATATTCTAATAGATTGGAAGCTTCTTGAGGACAGAGACTTTCAATTTTTTATTTGTATCTAGTACCTAGCACAGAGCCTGGCACATAGTAAGAGCTTGATCAAAGCTTATTGATCAATTGATTAAAAAATGAAAAGAGCTCCTACCAGCCAGGGAGGCAAAAAATTCCCAACAAGGGGCCAAAGCATGGTGCCCAGCTCCTGAACCTGGAGCTGGCTGGAGCCCTGCCTTGCTCTATGAGCAGGAAAAAGTTACCCTATCTACCTTATAAGAGCTTTTG